TCTCCTTCGTCACCACTCATATGATTCGAGTAATATTCAAGCTTTTGATTTTCCAGACATTCAGAGCGAAAGAAGGTTGGTCACTCGGGTTCATTCGCTGGTCCGGAAATCTGCTTGGATCAGTCGGATACCCAAGCGGTATCCCTGGCGGCGTCGGACCTTTGAAAGAGGAGGATAAATTGACGGGGATATGCAATGGGCGTCGTGAGTGATGCCTTGAGAGCCGCCCACACACGGCTGCTTTGTTTTTGCGGGAGTGAGTGAGGGGGGGGCAGTATATTTTTTATCCCGGGGCATTTTTAGGTCTGCCTCTTAGGGCGGCGAGTGTGTGGGGAGGAGGAGGCCGCGCCCCTCGCGTGACCCTCGTTCGGTCAGTTTGTTGACCGCCAAGGGCCGTGGCAGAAGGGCGGCCGCTCTCGGGGCGCCCTGTTGACTCGGGGCTTCTGCTACATGTTGCGCCTCGGGGCCTGTCTCTTCTTTTATCTGTCTATCTGTATATTTATATTCTGTCTATCCATCCTTATCTTTCTATCCATATTTGTCTATCTATATGTCTGGCTACCCTTTCCCTCCCTCTCCCTCTCTGCCTCCCTCTCCCTCCCTCCCTTCCTCCTTCTCACAACACGTGCGTCCGACCAGCGCCGTCGAGACCCAGTCAGCACCAGAGGCAGACACCGCTACCGACTCTCTAAGCAGATTCTTCTTGCGTTTTCACTCCCGCGGTCCTTTTATTCACTTACTCTCATTATCTGTCATTAAATGGCGACTCGTTCTGTGCGCGGGCGAGGTGGCGGGCGCGTCACGGGGAGTTATGGCCGCGCAGACTAAATCTTCCGCTGACATGCCGCTGGCCTGGGGGCGTGTGTGGGGTCGTGTGTGTGTGTGTGTGTGTGTGTGTGTGTGTGTGTGTGTGTGTGTGTGTGTGTGTGTGTGTGTGTGTGTGCGTGTGTGTGTGTGTGTGTGTGTGTGCGTGCGTGTGCGTTCGCTCGCGTGTATTTGTATGTGTGTGTGAGAGAGAGAGGAGTTTTTTGTGTATGTGAGAGATAGGGAGTGTGTGTTTGTGTGTTGTGTGTGTGTGTGTGTGTGTGTGTTGTGTTTGTGTGTGTGTTTGTGCTCGCGTGTATATGTGTCTGTATGTGTGTGAGAGTGAGTTTTTGTGTATGTGAGAGATGGGGAGTCTGTTGTGTGTGTGTCTGTGCCCGCGTGTATATGTATGTGTGTGTGTGTGTGTGTGTGTGTGTGTGTGCGTGTGCGTGCGCTCGCGTGTATTTGTATGTGTGTGTGAGAGAGAGAGGAGTTTTTGTGTATGTGAGAGATAGGGAGTGTGTTGTGGTGTGTGTATGTGTGTGTGTGTACATGTGTTTGTGTGTGTGTTTGTGCTCGCGTGTATATGTGTCTGTATGTGTGTGAGAGAGAGTTTTTGTGTATGTGAGAGATGGGGAGTCTGTTGTGTGTGTGTCTGTGCCCGCGTGTATATGTATGTGTGTGTGTGTGAGAGAGAGAGAGAGGGGGGGGGGGTTGTGTATGTGAGAGATAGGGAGTGTGTTAATGTGTGTGTTGTGTGTATGTGTGAGTATCTGTGTTACTTTTTTATATTGTGTATGTAGATTGATTTATATATTTAGGTAAATAGTCATGTATATATGTATGTGAATAAGTGTGTGCGTCTATGTATGTGTGCCTCTACATGTGAGTCTGTATTTTTAAATATACATCTCCAGCAAGGCAGAGCTTATCTCCGGGCCTTTCCAGGAGAGTCGATTAGGATCCCATAAAAGTTAGGCCCTAATTCCTCTTGTAATGCGATAGCGGTCGGGCGGCCATGTTTGTCTGGAAGAAGCTTGTTGTTAAACCTGTTTCTTGTTCTACTGAATATCTTCAAATAATTTACGATGGGCGTAGGCGTAGAGGTAGGCCGTCCGTTGTAGAAAAAGAAGGTTAGGACGACGTGACACAGACGGACAGACGGCCACAGACAGGCCGCCAACTAATGAAGAAAATAGAAAACAAGATGATCTGTGTCTTTGGTGTGTTAAGGATCTTCGGTCAGGTGTTTTGCCTTCGGTTCGACTTTCGGTTTCGACTTAAACACTGATGATTTTTCTGCTGTTGCCTTTGACATTGGTGTGGCTGCGTATAATTGAATGCTAGCACAAACAGTTGACTGTATAAAGAAAATGAGGGTGAGCGAGGGAGGGAGGGAGGGAGCGAGGAAGGGAGGAGTGAGAGAGAGAGAGAGAAGAGAGTTGAAGCAGGACGTGGTGTTCATACTCCTTCGCACAAAGGCTGAAGCCAAAGCCAGTGTCCCATTTCGTCGAAGAAAGAAAGATTTAAGATCAGCCCCACGATACGCCCACCTTCACCACCCCGCCCCCTCCGCCGCCCAGCACCGCCCGCGAGGGTGAGGAGCAGGTGTGGCGCGGCGGCGAGGGCCTGAGCCTCCGAGGAGCGTCCGCGGCACGCTCGCGCCGGGGCTTAGACCTCTTGCAAGCCGAGGGCCCTTTCACGCGCCCACGGCGCCGGCCGGGACCGCGGGCGCGGGGAGGAAGGCGTCGCGCATCGCCATTCAGGATCCCACGCTAGTCCTGCGAGACGGGACGTTATCGGAGAGTAATGAGGGATAAACACAGCCCGGACGCTGGCGGGCCGGGACAAAGGCTCGGCCGCGGAGGAGGTGACGGATGGCGGTGTTTACAGCCCTCGCCGGGAGGAGCGGGGGTTGTGTGTATGTATGTATGCATGTGTATGTATTTGTGAATATATATGGATATATATATATATATATATATATATATATATATATATATATATATATGTGTGTGTGTGTGTGTGTGTGTGTGTGTGTGTGTTGTGTGTGTGTATGTATGTATGTATATGTGTGTATGTATGTATGTATATGCGTGTGCGTCTGTCCATAGAACAGTACCAGAGATCATGGCACAGACAAGCAGAGTCCCGCACCACACCTCTCTTAGTGTCAGACACGACGCTTTGTCTATCTATTTGTCTATCTCCTCCCTTCATTCTTCTCTCCTCATTCGCTTCTCCTCTCATTCTCTCTCTCCTCTCATTCTCTCTCTCCTCTCATTCTCTCTCTCCTCTCATTCTCTCTCTCTTCTCATTCGCTCTCTCTCTCTCTCTCTCTCTCTCTCTCTCTCTCTCTCTCTCTCTCTCTCTCTCTCTCTCTCTCTCTCTCTCTCTCTCTCTCTCTCCTCTCACTCTCCCTCTCTATCTATCTATCTATCCTCCCTCATTCTGTCTCCCTCTCATTCTCTTCTCCTTCTCTCTCCTCTCATTTCTCTCTCTCTCTCTCTTCTCTCTCTCTCTCTCCTCTCTCTCTCTCTCTCTCTCTCTCTCTCTCTCTCTCTCTCTCTCTCTCTCTCTCTCTCACACACACGCACACGCACACACGCACACACACACACACACACACACACACACACACACACACACACACACACACACACACACACACACACACACACACACACACATTTTCCCTCTCCCCACTCATTCTCTCTCTCTCTAACTCCTCTCTTCTCACTCTCCTTCCCTCCTCTCTCCCCTCCTTCTCCTCTCCCTCCCTCCCTCTCCCCCTTTCTCTTTCTCTCTCATTTTTCTCGCTCTCAGGCTTATTCTCATCACTCTTTCGCTCTCCCTCGCATCACCTCCCTTTCCCTTACTCCCCCACCTCCCTTAACTTCCCTTTCCTGTCTGTCCCCTGCACTCTTTTTCTGTCATCATGTTTTTGTTTTTTTTCGTCAGCGGTTTCATTTTCCGCTCTCCTCCATTGCGAGCAACCATGATTTACTCGTTGCATCAGCAAGGAATTGTTATTTGTGTACATTTATGGATTTCACGCACCGGAGGCCTCGGCGTGAACGAGCCCCGAGACGCGCGGGAAAAGCCAGCACCCCAGCCCCGCCATTTTCCTCGTCCGCGTTTTTTTTCTTTCTTTTTTTCATTAGCGGGTTAAGTATCGTCCACGTCAGTCACGCCGAACGGATATTTCGATCTCGGCTGCGGTTTGCGCGGACGTCTCATTCGACGTGATTATAAGCTTGGGCTGCGGAGGGAAAAAGGGTTTTGAGGAGGAGGCGCCGCGGAGGATCAGTACTTGTGGCCCCGTTGAGGTCTCCGCGGGTGGAGGAGGAGGAGGATTCGGGAGAGCGATCCGGGTTGCCAAGTTACGTCGTCGCGAAAAGGGGTTGGGGTAGGTTGGTGTACCTTCGTTGGGGTAGATTCCGAAGCTTTTTTTTCTAAAGAGTAAAGATGCGTTATATATGGGTGCATATTTTCACACAGGAAGTGGTGTTGGATGTGAAGTGATCGGACATCATAATTCGTATATCCTTTGATTTTTACTCTTATTTTTTGTACTGCGTAATTCTCTCTTAATAATACATACTATATGTAGCTCTAGTATATGCCGGATGTCGTGAGCAAATATAGCGTGTAATTTGATGGGTCACACTCATATGTGTGTATATATATAATATATATATATATATATATATATATATATATATATATAGATATATATATAGATATAGATATAGATATAGATATAGATATATATATAGATATATATATAATGTATATAATATATAATATATATATATATATATATATATATATATATATATTATATATTATATATATATATATAATATTATATATATATATATATATATATATATATATATAATATATATATATATATATATATATATATATACATGTATGTATGTATGTATGTATGTATGTATGTGTGTATGTGTATGTATATATATATATTGTATATATGTATATGTGTGTGTGTTTGTGTCTTTAAATATTTATGTGTGTGAGTCTGCGCAGTATATCTGCATGTTAATTCCCTTGCCTGTGTTACATGTTCGGGGTGATTCTAGCCGCCTCTTCCATTCCCACCACAAGTACTGTTTGCGGCTCGCCTGCCTTGGCCGTTCGCAGAGTAACCCTCTCCTTGTCTTCCACAGGCCAATCGTGTGGCAAGTGTCGTGTCAACTCCCGCAGACTCAAACTGAGGAAATACTGTCGCAGAGACTACGGTAAGCAACACAAACACCTTTCGTATGTATAAACCTGCTGCACGGTATGAAATGACTTGAATTAAAGGGGTAAAATCGACTAATGGGAATGGTGTGTGGGAGAAGGGCGCTAATGAGGCTGTGTCCGCCCTCAGCTCTGGTGGCTCGCGTGATCAACAAGGAGGTCCTCGGCGAGTACACCCGCTTCGACATCCAGGTGACCAACGTGTACAAGCGGTCCCGCGCCGTCAGGGTGAGGCGCGGCGGCGACCAGCTGTGGGTGAGGAACCAGGACCTGGTGTGCAAGTGCCCCAAGATCAAGATGGGCAAGTGAGTATCGTCCTCAGCTCTTTGATAGTTTCGGTGTTTGCAGATTGCCTTGCCTCACTGTGGCGAGTCCGCTTGCAGTAGGATCTAGCAATACAGAGGCGAATTTACCGTCATTTACGTGTTCTAAAGTTATATTTTTCGTATCTTCCTTACCCAAGATCTTTCGTAATGTATTGATATTAAATAACGTGTATGACTCATGTGCCATATGCCTTGCAGGGAATACTTGATCCTTGGGCGAACAGACCGCAAGCAGCGGCCAGGTCTCGTCATCGACAGAAGGTCCATCGTCATAGAGTGGCGCAACGACTGGCAGCTGCGCATGCGCCGCTTCATGAAGAAGGCAGCGAAGTGCCGACCGTCGAGGTACTGAGGAGGGTCGCCGGTGGATCCTGGTGGTGCCAGTCAAGTCCCTCCGGGCCCAGCGCCAAGGAGAGTGCCACTGGATGCGTCTTTTATCGAGCATAATGGGAGGAGAAGGGATCCTACGTGAAAAAGAATCTCACATGACCAAGATACTTTTATTTCTCGTTTACGACCACCGCCGTGTGAAGGCGAGAGAGGGCGGGGGAGGGACAGACGTGTGGCGGAGGGTCTCCCGCAGGGGGACTCTGGACGAGAAGAAAAAAGTGAAATCTTGTTCATCCGCTAACCTCCAAGGCCGCGGCTTGGAGCTCGAGCTGAGTCTTGGGGCAAACAGCATATCACTCACTTTAGCTTAACTCGTAGCTTAGAAGGTGACTTCATGTAGTGATCTGGGTTATTGTCTGGCATCCACGGTCACGGGCTGCTGGCGGAATGGCCACGTCACTAGTGACGTGGCCATTGCCCTTTGACTAGGGACGACAGCTCTCGACCTGGGTTATGGAAAAGGCCCAGAAAGTGACCTGGGCTTGTAAAAAATGCCTTGGTAATAACCTAGGTTATTAACAAGTATGACCTACATAGTTGCCTAGGTTATCGGTAAGTGTGAACCAGGTGTCGGCCGTAGTCATTGAGCTGAGCGAGGGGCGAGGGGGGGATGGGTCTGTGACCTGGGCTGACCGACGAGTAATGACTTAGGCCGTGACCTGGCTTGCTGATGAGTAATTTGCGTTGTATCAATGTTCAGGAATGTCACACTAATATCTGTTTATATTATTAATGGCAAATCCGCCATTAGAAATATATTGCTTTATGCTCTCTTACCTTGTACGTTTTTGATTAGTGTACATACAGACCACAAATGATGCGTGTTCATTAAATGAATCGTAACTGAAATTATATATCTGATTAGGTTTAGTTGACTTCAACGCACGCTCAGGCCCGGAGGCGGCGAAGCGCCACTCGGGAGAGAACAGTCGCAATACCGATCGCTGATTGGCCTGCATGGGAGAGTAAGGTAGCCAATGGCGGCTTGGATATGGCGTGGAGTGGGCGCAGACGCGTGGGCGTGTGTTGACGACGGTGCCCCGGCCGCGGGCGTGTTTGGTTAACAGCTTGGCGGGCGCTACCTCGTCCGCAGACAAGTTCCTAATTTTACTCTCCATATTCTTATGTTGTGCACGGCTGGCCCTGGATGGAGGGTAGGGGAGGGGGGAGGGGAAGGGGTCGCAGCCACATCTTTGCCCGGAAGCACTCGCCGCCCCTGGAGTCTGGACAAAATTCGCTATGCAAGGTACAAAACGCGAGGCAACCGTGAGCGCGCATTGGCAGCGCACGAGCAACTGGCACCGAGCGAGGCGGGGGAGGGAGGGGGAGAGGGGGAGCGGCGCGAGCAGTGCCATCCAGGGCCATTCCGATGTATTGTAGTGTACTGCTGTATATGTCGCTGTCTGTGTGGGTACTTAAGCTGCCTCTCATCCTCTCGACGCCGTAACGTAGTTCCCGCTGGAAATCATTCGGTCAAATCATTTCGTCACTTCCCAGAGGTTCCCGCTAAAGAGGTAATAATTCAGCGCCTTAGCCCATATTGGGTGCTGTCGATGGCGCGAGATTGGCACGATTAGAGGATTCGTTAGATGTTAGGGCTTTGGAGCATGAGAGACGGTCGTAACCTTAAGGTGATATTCTAGGAGTAGTCTCAGCTAAGTTCCGCTACAAACACACTGTCGGGTTTATTGTTCTAACCAGGGGAGCACCATGTTAGCGAAGCTGGCAATAGTTTGGTTGAAATACCATTTTGGTTGACTGGAAGCCGTTCGTATTATCAAGTTTAAAATTTAGTCCAAACTAATGCAGTAAGGAAAGAAACAAAAACGTAAAAGTATATTTCCGGCTGTATGAACAGTAGTGTTTCGTTGTTATCTTGAGTATTTCCCCTGATCCTTTCAAACACAGACAAAACCTTAGTACTGGGCATTTAGCTAAGACCAGTCTTCACAATAGCACCGTTTACTGTCACCATTATTTATTTGAGCGTGGAGGAACAGCACCTAGAAATAGATGTTAGGGCGTAACTTGCGATTTCTTGGCTGCTCCCTCTGTCGGTCTAGTTTGTCCATAGTTCCCCGGATGTTCGGTTCGTCACTTGACCCTTAGAAGGCTGAGGACACGGGGCATGGGTGAGAGGGTCTTGGTTGCTCGTCGGTCTCATAGAGTGTGGGCTCTGGAGACGAGTGTGGCATACTTCGTAGGTGGTTGTGGTGGCGAAGTTGCTTGTATATAAGAGGTAGGTGTGTGTGCGTTCATTTGTAAACACTTTTACGCCGAGCTAAAAGTAAACCGAATGATGAATGGACATATCTCTCGGTCGTGTGCGTGTCCCCGTGTGTGAATGTGTCTTCAGTCGAACGTCGCCCTTCGCCCGCCGGCATCAGAAGCTTGGTGTCATGCCAGTCTTGACAAAGGGGGTATGACAGCGTCCCAGGAGAAATGGAGTATTAACCCAAGTGTGAGGTCAGTGTGGAGTGGGTGAGTGGCTGAAGCAGGGAAATCACAACTTTGGAAGAACAGAATAAAAACGGAAGAATAGAAGGAAAATTAAAATACATCGATATATGTACGTGTTTCATCATCACACTTTTGGCACCCAGAGTGACGGAAAAATTTCAATAGAACGTTTTTGTAGAATTCTTTTTTCTGTAGGTTATTCCCTGGTGGTGGAAGAAGCTGTTAATCGAACTGCCTCACATAGTATGTATAAATATATATATTTAGTAATGCAAATACATCTTGACGACGTTATCTGGTATGACTACAGCCTCCATCAGACGATAGCCAACCAAAGTGACTTAGCGAAATCACACAACTCACCCACTTAATACGCTAGATTAACATTTACAAAAGTCATTAGCTTTACTGAAAACCTAATTACTAGAGGACTAGTTTCCAACAGTGAGTGTCATCTGCTAACGAATTTCATTTACAAAACCTGAATAACCTTTATGAGTCGTTGTTGACATCGGACGTGGATTGGAATGCGGTGGAGGGGAAGGCTAGATCAGCAGCAACTCGAGGAGGTGTCTTGGCGTCTGATTCTATTTTTGGAAATAAAAAACACATGGGGTTTATTTTGATGACATCACAAAAGTTACGGACGCTTTGTGAATATAGTCGATCATTTTGGTCTTTTCAGTTGTCAAAAAAGATGGAAAATAAGGATTTTAATGGTTACAGTTTCATTGAACAATCATCAAAACAGACGCCAGGACACCGAATTGCTACTGAGCTATCTTTCCCCATGCGGTGGATGGCGGGGTCGACCACAGTGGCTGCTCAGTGCGCTCCGCTTACTTGTGCGCTGGAAGCCAATGGCACGAAATATGGTTGGCGTGAGTTGTGACTGGCTAGGAATGCAATCGAGAATAACTGAAGAGGACGAATAATGTGGCCATCATCGTAATTTCACTTATACCTCAGATTAAATGCAATCAATTAGAGTATGGATTTCTCTAATGTAGAGCAAGTTTAAATAATGTTGTAACTTAGAAATTTATTTTAAAATTAATGTCCTCTGAATTTCAAACTTGATCAGTGGCGAATGTCAGTTAGTGCCGTGTTTGAAAATACCAACGTTTCTTTACTATTCGTCCTTGAAACACATCCCTTTTCTCTTAAGGCCTTGTATTTGGCTCGGTTTGTTTGAGAATCTGTCATATTTGGTATCTCTTAACAATGGGATATTTGCCTTGTTTACGCTTTCGGTGTTTGTTTGTTTGTTTTTTCTCTCTCTCGTCTCAGGAAAGGACTTCAGATTTCGTTCTCCAGCTGCTAAAATTTGTAACTTTTAACTGTCTGTCCACGAGACGTATATCTTTATTTTTGCCACTGTACAGTTTATTTTTAAGACTGATGTATATTTGCATATTTCTGTATGTGTAAAAAAATCACTCCTGCATAATATGATTTTTATGTTGTGCCAAACCAGCTCTTGAACATTAAAATAGTTCTTAAGTGTTTTACTGCATAATGTGTTGTGACCGAGTTGTGGTATCAGTAAGGAAATAATTTGTGCACAAAGAGATATTCAGATAATCGAGAGAAAAGTAAAGAAATAATGAAATTATCATTATGGAAACCTTAATCCCAGATTGTTCATTATGGGACCATATTTCCAAATTGTTTGTTAATGGAAGCCCAATTCCACGTGTTGAGAGACCTTACTGTAGTCGCACGGCCAAGGTTGTTGGTACCCTCCACCCAACACTTCGCAAGCGGAGGCTATTGTGAAGGGAAATAAATGTGTTCAATAATGGTACACTGAGGCTACTTCAAGCGTGGAGCAAGCGACAACCTTACGTCACAACACAGTGAATGACAACAGGCACGTGACATTACATCAACAGCAAAACAAAAAAACAAACATAAAAGAAAATTGCTAAAAAAAATCATTAATATCTCCATCCACAAAGTAAAGAAAAGTGGTGAGAAAGGAAATCTAGGAATCTTTACAACCTTAGCCCCCATTTTATCAATTTCCCCTAAATGGACACAAACCAGTCGAAGAAAGATGAGAAAAGAGAGCCTTGGTGTGGTGTCAGGTGGCTGTGTCGAGCGTCGTGTGGTGGTCCTGCATATCAGCGGGGGGTCTGACCGCTGCCTGGAAGCGTCGCGACCCTGGGTGCCGTGCGGGGAGCAAACTTTGTGCAAGTGAATGCTGTACGGTTTCGTGAGTGAGGGAATCAGATGTTATGATTTGGAGTGTTTGTGTATATTTTTTTGCATGGTGGAATTACACTGTGCAGGCCGCAAACCTTAAAATGAAAATTTATTGGACGTTTTGTTGTATGGATTTTTTTCGCATTGTGTTATATATATATATTATCTAAATCAAAGAAAAATTCCGAAGATACTAACTGCAGTTGTAAGGCCTTATGATATTATCAGAATTTGCATGTTGCTAATCCTTCTGGTCCCACAAAACCAGTTGCACGCGGCCAGTGATAGTCGGCGAGGCTTCATCCAGCAGAGAGAACGGCAAGGCGCGGCGCCCCCTCGGCCCATCAGTCAGTTTGTTGGTGTCTGTACGGCGCGCTCTGTACATATTTGCTGACCTCTATTTTTATTTTATTTACATGTGCCACGTGTACCACAGATGATTCATTATATCAAATAAATGTATTCGTAATAGGAAGTGTTTGTTTCATTGTTGATTGATCCTTTGTCTGTCACGCCAAGCATTAAATTTATAGTGAAACATTAATAAATTGTCAATAGACTCATTAGAGCCCAAACACTCCTTTCCAAGCCAGACACCCAAAGACACTTGTTTGCCATACTTTGACAAGACGTGTGTCGGTGTTCTGTGAATGAAGATATATTTGTAATATATATTGTAAGTGATTTGAAGCAGGTCAGCTTTTGATACCAGACGAAAATAGAAACATAAATATAATAAAGAAAATCCGATGAAATTGCATATACTAGTAGTAATCGACGAGGCAGTTTCATCCTTGCAAAAGCCCATGTTAGCGAGGAACGTCAGTATTTCATATGTAATGGCTGTCTCGATAAAATCAAATTGATAACTTCTACTGGGAAAATAGACATTAAGTTTGAGAGAGCATAAGAATATCTAAGTTTAATATCAGGCATACCACTCTGCTATCTTATGAGTCGTATACTAGAATAATATATGTATATATATATATATATATATATATATATATATATATATATATATATATATATATATATATTTATAGCAGACACCTGAGAATAAAAATAAGACCAAAGTACATCCAATATATGTAATGTTAAATATCGCAGACGGTGATGAGCAGTCCTCAAAGAGAGCATTTTTTCATTTCTGAGACAGCTTTAATAAGAATGCATTTGGATTATAAAGAGTAACCCCGAGAAAAAAACAATATTTCATTCACTTTTTTGTTTTAAATACCATTATTTAGATTTTATGCTTAATATATTTGAACTGCAGGCAGCTGCCTTCAGACTACGCTTTTTCAGTTTGTAATCATACGCATAGGCAGATAGAAACTCAGTAATTATTAACACACAAAAACAATGAAGGTTAAATATTAATATTTGAGTTGCACATATGTAATATCAAATTGACAGATTTTTTTTTACAAACTAGAACATATCAGGCAATGATACCTCAATGATCTGATACAAGATGATATACATATACTATGTGACGCAACAGTCTCTATGGATAGAGAGTGTTATATTCATAGTATGCAGATAGAAACGGAAAAAAATCTACATATAGCGTGGCAATGGTTTTCCCTTGCGAATAAGGGAGAGTGTGTGACATATTCTAAATGTGTACAGCATGGTTATGTAGTGCAGAGAAAGTGGAATACTTCATCGCAAGTTAGATGTGAGTAGAATACGCAGTGTGGAATATATGTGCACCCTTTTTGCAGCTAAGCTATTTAAGCAAATGACAACAAAGAAGCAATGGAAAGTTAAGACAGGTTAACAAGATATAAATTCAAAATGTTTGGATAAAGATTTTGAAAAAGGGGAATACGAATATTCTTAGGAAAAAACAAACCATTCTCCTGCAATAAGTGCACCCTTTTTGCAGCTAAGCTATTTAAGCAAATGACAACAAAGAAGCAATGGAAAGTTAAGACAGGTTAACAATAAAGGAATAATCCAAGTGACAGTTCATTGTATCTGGAAACTAAAATTCCTGATAATGCAGTTCATTACTTAGGAATAAATGTTTTG